CCCCCCAGCCTCGGCCCCCCCACACACGCCAGCCTCGGCTCCCCCACACACGCCAGTCTCTGTTCCAGCAACACTTTCCGCCCTGATTTCCACCTCTATAGTTCTACGCACCCCAACTCTTCGCCCACAGCCCCACACACCCTGAGGACTTGCTGCCACGTCTCAGCGCCCCCCCCAACACTATGTACCTGCAGCACTGTGTACCCTTATCTCTGTTTTCATTATACCGCGTGCTCAACTCGGTCTTCTCAATTCCTGCACAGGTGGGCAACACCCTACTGTTTGGCCCCCAAGTCCCATCGCCTTAGATGTGCCAATGGTACCTTCCCAAAGGCATAATCACCCCTGTCCCGAGGCTACACAGCCACCCGCAGGGAGCAGGACCAGGACCGTGGAGCTGACCCACCTTTGTCGGGAAAGCCTGCCTTGGAGGCCTTGCGGTCTTTGAGGAGGGCTTTGGTGTTCTGGATCTGTGTGGTGAGTGAGGCTGAGGGCTGTTTGTGAGGGGGCAGGCTCTTGTCCAACTTCTTGGAAAACGGACGATGAAGAAAATCACCCCTCTTTTCTTGTTCTTTGGGCTTTTTATCCTTCAAATCAAAAGCGAGTAGACATAGTCAGACGCCCACAAGAATGTACTTTAAGATTCTCCTCTGAAAGGCCACCCAAATAGAAGAGGGGAACTCCAGCTCTCAAACGCTGTATACTTTGCAGTGTGTGGATTAGGTGGGGTGCAGGCTGAGGACTAGCCCACTCTCCAGGGGCCAGCTCCCTCTGCCCAGAGCAAATAAACCTGGATTCTCTCGAGCTTACTGGAACTGCACTGTCGACATGTTCCAGAGTGGTCAAGGCCACCCTATATGATCAGGCATTCTGGAAAAATCTGAAGGAACTAAGGAACAACCCAGAGTTCTAAAGCACTACTGTGTGCATTTGAAGTATGGCTCTAGTTAGGCTTGGTGCAGGGTGTCTTCCTGGGGGTGTCTATGACGGTGACCCCCTCAGATCCTTAGCCAATGAGAGCACTGATCCTGTCTATGCGTCTGCTGGTGGCTTCAAAGTTTGAACAGAATGCTAGGGCAGAAAGAGGTGACACTTAGGGAGGCGGGGCTTGTTTGAGACAGAGGTCCCTGAATGTGTGGTATTGGTCTCTTCCGATCCCTCCATTTGCTTCCCATCCACCATGATAGAAACAGCTCTGCTATGCCCTTACCCTGTGGCCTGAAGCCTCTGAAATCATAAGCAAAATAATTTGTCCTATAAATTGTTTTTCTCAGACAGATAACACAACAAGAAAAAAGCCCAACATAGACCTGTCTAAAAATACTAAATCTGTCCATCCATCCATCCATCCATCCATCCATCCAACCATCATCATCAAGTGGTACCCTCAGACACCAACTGCAATGAAGGCTTTGCCAACAGAGAGATAGCTGCTTTCATTTAACCTTAGACCCAGTGTGTTTAGTCTAAACCCCATAGAGCCCTGAGAAGTCCTTTTCTACTGTCTAAGCATGGGAGCATTTACACAGAGATCTAAACCTCACATGTATGCTGCCATTTTTTTAGCTGTAGAGTTAATCTTTATAGAACTAGATCATAATCCCTTTAATGGGAATGGCCTTGACTGTTTGATTTGCCTTCAACCCCACAGCCCCTGGCACCAAGCCAGGTCCTTAGAAACAGCCTTACAAGCAGCTATTTGGAGGGAGAGAGGGTCAGTGGAAACTGAACTGAATTAAAATTAATTGAGTTCAAGTTTCTGGGGATGGTGAGGCCACCACGCAGCTGCAGAGAAAGAAACTGTTTCTCTGGCCCTGGTGACTACACGATGTTTACTGCTAAAAACAGGCAAGGCAGCGCTGGCTGAGGGGAAAGGCATCCCTGACGCTGAGGGAAAGGCAGGGCTGGCTGAGGGGAACGAAGGCAGCTTTCCACAGGTTTTTGCCTTCATGTTGAAGAGGATGTGCAATTGGAGGGGGCTCATCCATCTTTCACTTATGTGCTGAAGAGCTTTGTGGGGAAGCTTCTCTTTGCATTCTCACACAGTGCCTTTCCCACCAAGGATGCCCACACCTTCATAGAGAGCTCATTATGTCACTCCGAGAAAGAACAGGAGAATGGGGGTGGGGATACAGGGGCTCCAGGGCCTCTCCCAGTGGTGGGGAAGTGACATGGAAGGAGAGGCCCACCCAGCTCCCGTAGGCTTCTTCCACAGCTGCGGCTGCCATTACGAGGGCCACAGGTAGCTGTCATGAGGAAACAGCCTGGGATGTCCCAGTGATTCACCCCAGGAACAGACTGAAAATGGAGTTCCACAGTACTGTGAACGACTGAATCCATGTGGCCTGGGGTGGCGTCAGGAGGTGGCAGCTGGGGAGACTTATCACAGGAGGAGACTCCTAACAAAAGGAAGGCCTCGGCCTCACTTCTGCCTCTCAGCTGTGACGTCCTCCTCCCCAGATGCTGACATCAAGTCCTGGGACTTCCCGGCACCCAGAATTGTAAGAAATAAACTGTTGTTCATAAATCATCTGGTCTCAGGCTTTCTGTTGTAACAACAGAAAATTCACTAAGACATCCAGGGTGCTATGAGGTGTGTCCCAGGTGTCCATGGGAAGGTCAGTAGGAGATAACCGGTTTTCCACTGCTGCCTGCTCCTGTTTCCATGAAACACACTCTACCTTTTACCTTCTCTAAAGCAAAGCAGAACAAGCTTAATAACAAACACACATACATAGACAAAACACACACTCACAGCCACAGACACACACATACAGCCATATAGATGGACACACAGACACAGACACACAGAGGCATATTCAGACACACAGATAATACTCAGTCATATTCAGACAGACAGATAAACACACACAGGGGACATATAAATACAAACACACACACAAACACACACACAGATGCAAACATAGATACAGATGGACACACACACTCAGATGCACACACAAACACACGAGCGTGCGCACACACACACACACCTGTGTAGCATGAAGAAGGATAAGATGTGTGTGCTCTGAAGAGTCTGGAATAACGTCTTCCTTTGTTCAGTTTCTTTTTTAATCTCTCTGTTCTGATGCAAAGCCCCCCATTTCTATCTGCTAATACCACGGCGGGAAGAAACACATACACGGTGCACTTTTGCGCTTTAAAACAAAACTCAACAGAAAAGATCAAATTGCATTCACACCATTTCAGAATTAAAAAAAAAAAAAAAACCGAGACCAGCAAAGGCTCCTCCGGGCTGCTATGTAGCCCCATGCGTAGAGGTCTGCTCCCAGCTGTGAGGGGTCTACTGTAGCTCCTGTCCAGTCCCATGGGGGTTCTTGATAGTTTACGAATCAGGTTGTAAATGTCTGGGGCCAGTCTCCCCACCCAGACTGAACTTAGTAGCAAGAAGCTGTGAGGTGTGAGGGCCCTGCTGCAGAGGGAGTCCAAGGCTGGCCTGGAGGACCAAGTTTTCCTGGGATCAGGGGAGGGATGGCAATGAGCTGAAGGCCTTCTGTGGAGAAGGGAGAATTGCTAACTGGCCCAAACCTTCCAGACAACCCTGTGAGGCATCTTTGTTGCACTTGTGCCCCAGCATGCCGTGCAAACCATCAGAACATGTATCGGCATAGAGATGTCATAGAAACTATTTCCAGGGAGCTGACCTGAACTTACATCCCTCGAAGGGGATGAACCTTGAGCCAGGTCATGTGTAAGTGCAGACGTCCAGGGGAAAGTGTCCATTGCTAGTCCCACTGCCTCAAACACGTGCCATGATTACCCGGTTAGACCTTTTCATTTGCTTAACCTATTTTCTCTAAAGGAAATCCCCTAGGGAGCAGGATGCTAGCAATGCCTTATATAATAGAAAATAATCTTCAGAGACAGACTACACTCTTCCTTCCAAGGGCATGTGTCCCACTCACAGTTCTGGGGCTGGCAGGGTCCTGGTTCCCTGATTCTCCTCTGTCAGGGTTCCCTCCTGAGGTGGTGAGGAGTGGTGAGGAAATTCACAATCTCGACTCCTGGCACCTTTTCCTTATAACCCACATGATAGTTTGTATCATCAAGTAAGACCAGAGAGGGTCACGTGAGGTGGGTCAAGCAGTTTCTCTCTCTCTCTCTCTCTGTGTGTGTGTGTGTGTGTGTGTGTGTGTGTGTGTGTGCGCGCCCATGTGTGCACGAATGTCTATGGAGGCCAGATAAACATCAATTGATATTAGTTGTCACTTTCAATTCTGCTTTGTTTTGTTCATAGAATCATGGTCTTTTGCTGAATTTAGGGAGCACAGATCTGGCTAACCTAACTAGCTAGCCCTGGGGATCCCCTGTCTCCTGAGTACTGAGGTTACAGGTGGGCCACTATGCCCACCCAGCTTTTATATGGGTGCTGGGGATCTGACCTCAAAAGTGCCTTGTTTACTGAGGCACTGTTCCTGCCCCACAAGCAGAAACTTGACCTCTAGCCACCAATTCTACCCACTAGAGACATGTAAAAACAGTTACAGAATTTAACGTGGGCCCTGAGAGGATAATTTGTATCAAGTTCCTTAATATACCCTGTACCGTTCAATGGAAGAAACAGAGGTCCACTGAGCATTTAGAGACAGATGTGTATCGCTCCAGTAGCCAACCTGAGGGGAAGACCCAGTCCTCAGCTACTAAGCCCTGAGCTCCAGAGAGCGGGTCCTTTTCAGAGTCTCCCCTCCTCACTGTCAATTGAGGCATGGCAGTCACCAAAGAACAACCACCATGGTAATAGCATGGCAGTGAACTCCTTCCCTGACTCTCTGTAACTTGCTGTGACCATGGGCAACTCCCATCACCTCCAGGGAAGTGTATCTCCATCTGTAACTACAGGTTTGGTCTTGCCAAGCTCTGCAGCTTAAGCAAGAATCCATCCTGCATCTGCATGACGACCAGAATGGCAAGCACTCTAATTTAACAAGGACGGGGACTCTGTACCACCTTTCATCCCAGGCTGGAGGAAGAACTGCCTCTTGGGAAACCAACTTCTCTCCCACACAGAGGGTGACTAGGGCACAGGAAGAGCCCTGGGGGCTGAGGGCAGTTAAAGAAACTTCCATCGGTGTGAGTTCCATCACATTCAGCTCATTGGGAGCTTGACTGATAAATAAGGAACTGCACCCAGCTGCTCAGAGCATCAGATCCAGCCACACCTCTCACCCTGGATGACCAGGGTTCCCAGATGTCACTAGACAGTTGGTGTTTGTTCCTTTATGCCTATCATATTAGAGAAAGCAGCAGAAATCAACAATAACAAAAACCTATGAGTGAGCTTAGAAAAAGAGGGGCTGAGTCATAAACCAGACCACAGAGCCAGGAACCCTGGGCTGCTGCAAACCCTGTGTCTCATGTGGAAGACACAGGGATGCAAGAGAGTGAGACAAGGCACAGCAAGCACCCAGCCCGTCTGAGTTGAAACCTCGATTCAGGGTAAGGGAGGGTTTCAGGGGTTGGGCCAGGGCTGCCTGATACCCAGGGTCACACGATGGTTGATTCCATATGTCACCTTGGCTAGGCCATGTCATCTAGTGTGTGGTGGGCGCCAGTGTACACGCCACTGTAGAGGATGCTCAGTATTTTCAACAACCACACCAGCAGGCACTAAGTGCAGATGACCCTCCTCAGCACTGCGTCTTCAGAGAAAAGAACAGGCAGACGTGGAGAGCTGGCTCAGTGCCTCAGCGCTTGCCACCCAACCGTGAGGACCTGATTTTGGACGTGAGCACTCGTGTAAAAAGCCAAGGTGGTCTTGGGCATACCTGTAACCCTGGCACTTTGAGGGGTTGAAACCAAAGCATTTCCGGGGCTTTCAGCCTAGCTGAAAAACCAACTATAGGCTCAGGGAGAGATCCTGCCTCAAAATACTGAGGTACAAACTGACAGAAAAGGAGACCCAATGCACTCTTCTGTCCCCACAGTTAGTCTCACACACATGTGCACATACACCACACACACAGGCTCTCCAGAGAGCCTGGCTAATCCATCAGAATCCCCCAAGCTTACCTGCACAGCATGGAATTCCAAGTCTCTTGTCCAGGTGTCAAGGGAGGCCTGTGAAGGACACCAATTTTCATCAGTTCACAAAGGGACATTTAGTACTGATTCCCAAACCTCTACCCCTTAGGACTCTCCCTACAGCTCTGATGGAAAATAAATCATTTCAGTGTTTATATGTGTGTGCATACATATACATATACATACATACATACATACATCAACCACCCCGAATTGCAGTGTGAGGAGGGAGCATATGTCCTAAGCCACGTGTAGGGCAGATCCTCTGGTTGACGTTACTAAACACCGAGACCCAGAAAGCAGACGTGCCCTCATGACAAACGAGCAATTCAACGCGTTTCTCATGGTTGAGACAACATGGAAACACCAGGAACTAGAGATCCCACTAGCACCTGAGAGTTTCTTCTCAGGTTTTTCTCCCAGCCCAAAGTCTCTTCGTAAAACTTTTAATTTAATTAATTAATGGATTAAGTGTGTGTGGGGGGGCGCGCGCCGAGGTGTGCATGTGGAGGTCAGAGGCCCCCTGCAGGGGCTGGATCATCCCTCTCACAATGTGGATTCTGGGGAGTGAACCCCCGTCCTCAGGCGCAAGCCCTTTATCTGTGAGCCACCTGGCAGGCTCTCCCCCGAGCCTCTCTGTCCCCGGCGGCGTAGCTACCATTTGAATTTCCTGCAGCACAAACCACTTGACCCGACTGCATGCTTTATTTTTTATTTTAAAAAATCTAAATGACATAGTTTTGTCCTGTTTCCCACTCCCCCAATTCCCCCACCCACCCCACCCAACTTTATGTTCTGTCTGTCTCTCCAAAACAACAGAAGCAAAAACAAACAAAAAAGCAAACAACAAACCCAAAATCCAAAGCAAAAACCCAATAAGATAAAAAAAAGCCCAAACAAAACAAAATAATAATAATAATAATAATAATAATAATAATAATAAGTAATAACTATTTACAAAAAAAAAGACATGGTGTTTGTTTTGTGTTGGCCAACCCTGCCCTGGAATGTGGTTGATAAGCCCGTGATATTCCATTGGAGAAAACAGATTTTTCCTTTCGCAATAGGCATCTATTGCAAATAGCTCCTTGGTCGTACAGTGTGTGTGTGTGTGTGTGTGTGTGTGTGTGTGTGTGTGTGTGTGTGTGTACGAGAGTGTGTGTATGTATGCCTATATTCATCATATATGTGGAGGACAGAAGACAGACTCAGATACTCTGAGACTGGGTTTACAGGCTGCTGCGTGCCTCTGTGTGGGTGCTGGGAACAACACCAGGGTCCTTTGCAAGAACAGTTAACTGCTGAGCCATCTCTCCAGCTCCAAGTCATATAGATGTTTAAGTAAGTCATAAGCTGCCAGGCGGTCATGGAACCCAGCACCCAGGAGGTAGAGAGGCAGGTGGATCTCTGTGAGTTAGAGGCCAGCCTGGTCTACAGAGCAAGTTCCAGGACAGGCTCCAAAGCTACACAGAGAAACCCTGTCTTGAAAAACAAAACAAAGCAAAATAAAAAAAAAAAGTCATAAGCTAGACATCTTAATATTTACCTTTAAACTTATAGTCCAGATAAGTTAGCAATATCTCAAAATTTCTATGTTGGAGTTTTAACCTCTAGTACCACAGAAAATAACCTTGTTTGGAGTCAGGTCTTTATCTGAATAGTGGCATTAAAATGAGGCTGTCATGACAACCCTTCTGCAGTATGACTGGGGTTGCTGCAGGAGGGGCAGTTTGAACACAGGACCGCATCTAAGATGGCAGAAGGACGCCACACAGGGCAGACCAACAGCCTAGACAAAGGCTTGGAGCAGGCTCCCTCTGCTATCCCTCAGGAGGAAGCAGCCCTCGGTCACCTTGACCTCTAGAACTGAGAGACAACAGATCTCTTCCCCTGGTGCCCCATGACCATGGTCTTGTCTGGAAAGACCTCCTGTTTCTAGTCTACATTTTATAAGTTGACATTATTTTTCAAGCAATTTCAACAAAAATGGCATTACATCATTTTTTTTTAAAAAAAAAAGATGGGTCCTCACTGTGTAGCCTTGGCGAGCCTTGAACTCACAGAGTTCTACAGGCCACTACCTCCGTCACCTAGCCCATCTGAAGTCATTTTTAATAACCAGTTTAAAGATGACGACCACCCGCCCCATCCCCGAGGGCCCCAGGGCCCTCTGTACACCATGCATTGGTGTTTCTAAGTGAGATACTCCTCTCCATCCCCAGTTTTGGAACCGGCTCCCTCTACATAGTTCTGTCTGTCCTGGAACTCACATGTAGACCAGGCTGGTCTCCAATACACAGAGATCCCCCTGCCTCTGCCTCCCAAGTGCTGGGTTGAAAGGCATGCACCACCTAGGTGTATGCTCCAATTTTACAAAATAGTCTCTTTCTTTTTACAGGAAGAGGCAGGATAATCCTTAATATTATAGCACTGTAATCCCCGAAGGGAAGTTTTGAAAACTCAATTAAGCTTATTTGTCCTTGAGTAGAGAAAAGAATAGAAGTGAGGAAATTAAAAGAGGCCACCCACGCACCCAGGGCACAGGACACAGATTCGTGAAATCCTTGGAGCTTGTGGCCTTCCAGCCAATTCCCCAATGAAACTCAACCTCACACTTCATTCCCTGTGCCCAGCCACCCTCACCCCTGCACTGCCTTTCCCTCTCTTCTCTCTTCACCTCAGTGGAAACTGGAGTGAAACCAGGGCCTCCCGCCAAGTGGCTGCACCAGTGAAGCCTGGGCCATCTGAGGCCTTCCTTTCTACCCAGCCCCACCCCACTCTCTCAGTTCCAACAGAGAGACAAGTTGAGCAATCTAGTAATAGCCTGTAATTCAATTAGCAGAAGTAATGCTGCATACTGGAGAAACAAATGGGTCCTAGAAAACCGAAATGCAGTTTGCCCATTAGTGCTCCTATTTAAATCCTAACTGTTCAATATTTCAGCAAATGCTTAAAACGTCCGCCGTGTTTTCTGGCCAAGTGGAAATAACCGTCAGAGAAAGGGGATTGGAGTGAGAGATGAGACTCTTTCCCATCAGGGTTCTGGAACTTACAGCCACAGCCGCAGAAGGCTGGCGTGAGAGAAAAGAGGAGGCACAGGCAACGAGGGACAGAGGACACTGGGGGCACATGCATGCATGATCCAGACTCCAGCCTGTCGCACTGCAGGTGGCAGTGTGGCTCCCCAACTGTCTGGGGGATGCTGTGGGCATTGAACTACGTGTTGCCCTTGGAACGTCCTACCCTCTTCAGTTGCTTGCCTCGGTTCAATCCGTTTTCTGACACAGGACAAGGTCCATTTGACTCTTTCATTTGTTCCCTTAGCAAATATTCACTGGTATTAATTACATGGTACTTCCACCCTACCGGGACCATGCCGGATCCTTGAATGTTAACACGGTCCTTGCTCTTGTGGAACTCATGGACCAAACTGGAAGAGTCATTTGTTCATCAGGTGATCCCCTTAAATAAATGAAAAAGTGCTGAGACCAGCCCTGTGTGCAGAACACTGCATGGCAGTTGCCTTAGAGAGAACGGGGACCTCGTGCCGGATGTCAGAGAATGGCTATGGTCCATGAAGAGCTGGCCAAGCCTTGGATCTGAAGATGCAGGGCCACTGAAGGAGAAGGCCCAGGAAGCAGTAACACGATAGGCACAACCGTGGCAGGCAGAGTGGTAAAACAAACCCCAAGGCCCAGGGGAGTGGGCACAGAGCAAGAAGAAGGCTGGGTTTCTATTGGACGTGAGGCCAAGCTACGAGACCAAAGCCATTAGAACTGGACATCTACAAAGGTGGCCACATCACTGAGCCTCCAAGGGCTGCAAGAAGGGAAGTGACATGATGTGACTGGAGACGTCCCAGTCACCAGGACAACTGCCCAGCTGACTCTGCTGAGCTTTTCCCAGATCATCTTCCTGGTTCCCAAGGCTCCCAAGCATCCCCCTCCCCCTCCTGGATCTCCCAGCAACTCTGGCTTTTTCCTCCCCTGCCCCCAGGCTCTGTCTAAAATGGACACCCAGTAAGCCCAGCCTCAGTGTTGGGCCCATTGCTGAGCTCCTGTAACATTCCAGCTCAGCCCTCAACGGGATCACATCCCTAGACAGAGCTGGGTCAGGTGGACCCCAGAGGGAGGCAGGTGAGACCATCTCACATCGTCAGGAAGAAAATCTGAGGGAGTGGCCACAGTCTAAAGTGGAGCCCTTTCTCATCTCTCCCTCAGTAAATGAACTCCCGAGCTTTCCACAAAGACGCAGTGACAGGGCCCAAGGAGCTCTGACAAATTCTCTACATGGAAGGGGTGTGGCTCCAAGGAATGAAACTGAGTAAAAAGAGCCTACGAGTAAGCCTGGTGGGCAGGAAGCCCTGCGCTCCTGGGGCGGGGTCAGAAATCCACAGCAAAACCTCTTCACAACGTGTGCTTTGGGTTCCAAGTCTGTAAGGACCTGAGCTGCCACAGGACTAGTTTTGACTGCATCCATGAACTTTAGTGTTTTGCACTCAGGTACAATGCAGGTCACCTCGAGACCCTGGAGATAGCTGACTGAAAAAACTCACTTCTGTCCAGAATTTTCCCTGCCCTTTGCCTCACTTCTTCCCTCTTGTGCCAGCTGAGCCATTGGGCCCTCTTTTGAGTGCCCCAGCTGTTGTTCCCACTGTGAGTGCTGAGGAACTCATCCAGATGGCTTTCAGAACTCCCACCCAGAAGACCTCTGAGTCAAACACATCACAGAGACGCCCGTGCACCCATTGTTACTGCAACTCTACTCACAATGGCCGAGCCGTGGAACAAACCTCGATGTCCCGCAGCTGAGCAGGGGCTAAGTGGTCATGTCCTACCTACACAAAGGGTTTGGTTTGGTTTTGTGCTTTTTCAGCAATAAAGAATACCAAAGTCATGTCCTTCACAGGAAAAATGGATGGAACTGGGGGAAATCATATTAAGTGAATTAAGCCAACCCCAAAGACAAATATCATTTTCTCTCATGTGTGGTTCCTAGACCTTATAGGATCACAAAAGCACATGAGTATTTGCCAAGGATGTAGAAGCAAAGCTGTCTAGAGGACTAATCCCAGTGCAGGGGAGAGGGAGAAGGGGCGGGAGAAAGAGAAGTTTATACTCAAAGTACCTTACCTACTTGTATGAAGTGTCCTAACGTAAAGCAACACTATGTATAATTAGTACATAAAATGGAAATTTAAAAATAAAAGATGTTTAACAAATTTCACTGAACAGACTAGGAAAGAAAACCAAAAACATGAAGGCCTCCTTCCTGAGACTGGATGTTAACGGCCTGTGGTAGGGATGGCGCACACGGGTGTTTAAATGTTCCCAGTGATGGATGGCACACAGGGCCTGTGGTTTGGAGACTGAGCAATGTTGGCTCCACTGTAAACCAATTCTCCAGGGCTCAGCTGTGAGGGTGTTTGTCCTTTGATGTCTCTGTGTCCTGTGGTAACTGGCTTTCTTTCCATTCTCCCCCTAAAAATGGGCCAAAATCCCCTGAATTTGCTTCAGGGCCACTCACCTCGTAGGGCTCCTTGGTGGCTCTGCACTTCTCTATCTGGTAGAGCTGGGTCTTATAGCAGACGCCATCTTGGATGTCAGATTTCTACCGGAGAAAGAAAGCAATAAAAAGTGTGGCTTAAGTCTTGTCAGATAGAAACATCCATGGCACAGTCGTGAATTTTCAACCAGTGCTCAGCTAAGAAAAAGGCAAAGAATGGCTGGCACATTAGCAAGCCAAAGTACAGTTTCACCTCAGCACTGGGCATGAGGAGAGCCCAGGGCCCAGAGGCAGGCAGCCGGGGCCAGTCTCTGCTCTCTACGGATCTCGGTTCTTCCATCTGCCCAGGGTTTACTGTAGGAGGAGAAAGCAGAAACTAAATAGTTAAGCTGGAAGAACACCCTACTTGCCACACTGAGTAGAAAGCGCCATGCTCTCCTGCTATTGGAAGCAGGGGGGGACTAGTTGGTGGAGTGCTTGCCTTGCACTCATGAGCTCTGAGTTCAGCCTACAGAACTGAATAAAAGCAGGCATGGTGGCATATCGCTGCAATCCCAGGACTTGGGAAGTGGGTGCGGACAGAGCAGGGGTTCAAGGTCATCTTTGACCTTGTTTGGGGCTAGCCTGGGACAGGAGGCCCAGTTTCAAACAAACATCGTGAAAGGAGAGTCACAGCAAGCCGCAATGGAAGCTGGCAAAGGAGGAGGCTTACAATACGCATCTCTTGATTCTAAAAAAAGAGAGAGAGGAAGAAACGACAAACAAGGGGAGAGAGGCATTCTAGTTCACTGGATTTCAAAATCACACACAGGTTGTTAGTGACTGGCCAAGATAACTGCGGCAGTGCCTATGGGGCAATTAAATAAACCACATTGGATATTACAGAGTGGACCAGCTGCAGTCATAGTTCATAGTCATAGGCAGAGATCAGTTCACTCCACCTGCCTGGAGCTTGGATTCTCAGTCCAGGTACATCTTACGACTGAAGAGTTAAGTTTCCTTGCTCAGTTCTCCAGTCAGACTGCAAGCCCTGGGTTTCCCAGGGATGCTTTCCACGGGACAAAGCCACGCTCAGCTTTCAACACTAGAAACTGAGGCTAGACAAAGTTGGAGACAGGAAAAGACAGCAGAAGACAAGGAGCCGGGGCTAAGCAGGACACAGACGAAAAGTTTCTGACACAATGTCCCTCGTGCTTGACATGAGCTATGTATGCCACAGTACCAAGAGAATGTGAATGACCAAACTTGCTAGGTGTGATATGGAAGTAAGTGGCCATGAGCACCTCTCCATCTAACTTTAAACACACACAGACCTAGAACACCTGAGCCTGTAACATTATTCAGTAATAAAGGAAACTAAGAAGGTACCTATAAATCAGCTCCATCACGACATTCTAAAATCCTGAGCAACAGTCATCATTTGAGGAAAAAAAAAAAAATCAGTGTGTGCACACCCTCCTCTTATTTGAGAGCCATTTGAAAGATTAACGTTTCGCCTCTGGCATGGTGTCCAAATGATATCACCTGGAGCCTGAATGAAAAAGTTGTACAGAGGCAGCTACAAGAATACTCATAATTTATCGTGGGCCACTGCACTAATGCACCATCTACGTTATAAAATATACAGTAAAAGCAGGAGCTTCAAAGATTTGGGGATGAAGTCTCTGACAGAAGAGAATGGAAAACCAGCCACAACTCCCACCTGTCTCTTAGAGCCTTCTGATGAGGGCAGAGAGCCACTGTGTGGCATGCGGTGGGGGTGGGGGGCGTCTTACTCCTCCCTCACCACTATGAAATAACAGACTATCCGCTATGGTGTGTGTGAGGCTCCCGGAAATTCACCTCTGGAAGCTGGATTCCTCGTGTGGCAGTGTTAAGAATCGACAAGGGAACAGCACAGGATAACAGTTAGGTCATCAGGGGCATTGTTCGTGGGAGGGGCTGATACCGTCTCATACAGCATGTCCCTTGTGTTAGAAAGGGGGGCACAGGACTCCCCTGGCCCTTTGCCTGAAGTTATTTCCCTTCTCTCGAGTTCTGAAACAGAACAGGGATGCTCTTCAGGCTAGGGCACACTCTTGACTTTCACTTAACAAAGCTATAGGCTCAAACAAGCCCTTTTTTAAAGTGAGTATCCAGCCCCTCGGGTATTATAGTAATAAGACATACATGTACAATATTTATATATACTATATATATATAGTATATACATATTACAATAAATATATATGTATATATACAATATATATCACAATATATATTCCAATAAAAATTACATGCCAATATATATTACATATTGCAGAATATATATTACATATTGGTATTACATATTAAAGCTTGATTGAGATTGCAGATCCTGTCTTTCTATGTTAGTGAGTGTTAACTGTCAACTTGGCACAGCCTAAAACCACCTGGAAAAAAAGAGTTTCAGCTGAGTAACTGCGTACCAGGCTGGTCTGTGGGCATGTCTGTGAGGGATTGTCTTGATTATTGGTTGATGCAGAGGGCCCAGCACACTGCGGGTAATACCTTCCCTGGGCAGGTGGTTCTGGGCTGTATGAGAAAGCTAGCAAGCTAGAATACAAGCCGCTAGTAGCTTTCCTCATTGGTCCCTGCCCCCCAGTTCTCACCAAGTGCCCTCCATGACAAACTATGACATGGAGCTATAAACCAAATACACCTTTTCCTCCCCAAGTTATTTCGATCAGAATATTTATTACAGTGTCAGAATAAGACTAGGGATAGCACGTCACCTGATTCCACTGTCCTCTGACGGCCACCACACAGGCACCATCTCATAGCCTCAGAGCTCAAAATGAATCCCCATCAGAAGTACAAAACATTTATTTCCTCATGATCATTTTTCTTGTTTGTGCAAGCATTTTAGTGTTTCTTTTCACGCGTCTTCTCCCTCCCTCCCTCCCTCCCTTCCTCCCTCCCTCTCTCTCTCCCTCTCTCTCTCTCTCTCTCTCTCTCTCTCTCTCTCTCTCTCTCTCTCTCTCTCTCTCTCTCTCTCACACACACACACACACACACACCAAGAAAGCTCTGGTTAAACTTTCCTGGAAGCAAAATAGAAGCTGAATCAGCTTGGGAACACCTGCGCTTCCGTCCAGATGTTTGGCTGACCTCCAGTCAAGCTTCTTCATACACATGCTATCTAACTGCCTGTGGGCCAATCTGCTAACACGAGTTTCAGTAGAACCATCGTGCCTCGTGGATATTATTTTGCTCATTTCTGCTCTGTCAAGGGGATGCATTTCTCCAGATGCAGGTGGATTTTCACCTTTTGCACCAAGATAGAAACTTTAAAATGTCTCTAACCCTTTTGGTTGGTGGGATTTGGTGACACGTTAGGCTATTGTGTGACTTTTAACAGCACCGGCTATCTCTATAAGTTTGATCTTGCCATCTAGGTTCTATCTTCCTAACAGAGAAACACCAGTAGATCTCAAGGTGCAATACACACAAGACCAAGGTCCTCTTTGAGAGAGCAAATGCTTGATCAAATCTCCGGCCAGTTTCTGTCAGCTTGAGTTTCTCTGGTTGACTTCCTGTTAGAGCTGGCTGGCACTGGACCTACCCTTCCGTCTGGGTTAAAGCCCAACAGTTTTACATTGAATCTATACACTGTCTTACAGAATTCTCTTTAAGAGACTGTCCCTTTGGAGATGGCAAGTGAACTACCGTGGCCAAGACAATAAAGGTACCATAATATTGGGGCACTACTATCCACCCATAAAGTGGGTATCCAAACGGTACTTCTTGTGTGGCACTTGGTCTTTCTTATTTATTTACTTTTAGATTTTTGTAAATGTATATGAGTGTTTTGCCTGTATGTGTATGTATCACGTGTGTGCCTTGTGTCAGAGGAGGCCAGAGGAAGGTGCTGGATTCCCTGGGACTGGAGTTACCGATGGTTGTGAACCTCTTTGTAGGTGCTGGGAATCAAACTCGGGTCCTCTGCAAGAGCAACAGTGTTCTTAACTGTTAAGCCAATTCTTTACCCTGTCACTTGGACATTTTAACATCTGCCCTGTGTGAAGCTGCCAGAGTTAACCCAGTGAAGCCCGTTGCATTCTTATTTTCAGGAGAAGTAAACCTAAACATATTTTTTTCCTGTTGGCACCTGGTTCCAGGGCCTCCTACAAATCCCAATCTTGTGTAAATCATTTATAGGAAACCACACACTATTTGCATACAAACTATGCACACCTTCCACACACCTGGGGTCTCTGAATTACTTATAGTAGCTAATACACTGTAAATGCTACGCACCTATTACTTAGGGAACAATGAGAAAGGAGTCTGCACTTGTTCAGTACTGACATAATATTCTCCTCCAACATTTTTGACCTATGGTTGGTTGAATCCTGCAGACGCAGACCATCAGGGAGAGAGGGCCGCCCTGTGGCTTTTCCATTGCCCATACTGAAAAGGCAGGAACAGGCCCCACAACTTTTAATAGCAGTTAAGCCTCCAGTGTGGTGATATTTTGTTTGTGCTTCAACAAATAAAGCTTGCCTAAACATCAGAATGCAGAGCAAGGCACTAGTCAGCCACAGAGGCCAGGCAGTGGTGGCGCGCACCTTTAATCCCAGCACTCAGGAGGCAGAGGCAGGGGTCTCTGGGCTTGGGCTACACGAGATTGAATCCATCTAAAAGAGAAACAGACGTCACGCCTTTAATCCCAGCACTAGGGAGGTTGGGACAGGAGTAACATGGCTGGGCAGAGAGGAATAGAAGGTGGGAAGAGACAGGGGCTCATGGCATTCAGACTGGACAGGATCACCCCTTTGCTCTGAGGATTCAGTAGAGGTAAAAAGGTCTCTCTAGTGGCTGCTCCTTTACTTCTCTGACCTTTCAGCATTTACTCTGATATCTGCCTCCGGGTTTTCATTATTAAGACCTATTAGAACTCCTGGTACACTCCAGTTCCTCTAAAGCCAAGAACCCAGAGCTGAAAGGTGTCAGAATAAAAGCAGGCAACTGAGAATAGAAGACAAGGCTTAAGGCCCTCAGGGGTCTGCCAGGGCTAACCGTTACAGGAGAACGTTCGGAACACATCTCAGATCAGTAGCACCATCTAAGAAACGGTTTTTCTAGACTTTACCCCACCTTCAAGAGGCTCAGCCTCGAAACCTTTTAGGCTAAAGTAACAGTACGATGGATCAAGTGTCAGCATCTTCGCAAGACTAGACAGGAGAAACTCCTCTGGGGTCCCACTTACCCCTGACAAATAGCGCTCGAGTTTCTTGTTTAACAGGAAGTAGATGGCCAAAATGTGGCAGGCGCGGTTGGACAGCACCGTGTTGATGACATCACTGTTCTTATAGCCCAGCTTTTCAGTCATGTGCAGCACCACACTGGGGCTCAGGTCTTCCAGAGAAATCCTGTGAGTGGTAGACACGGAGAACCAGTCATCTCTCTCCACCTTCAGAGTGGCTCGCAAACATGGCAGGCACAGGCACAAGGGGTCCACACAGGGCCCCAGGGACAACAGTGTTCCCTCAGTCACTCGTTCACTTGATTTTCTTTCTTTTTTTTTTTTTTTGAGACAGGATCGTATGCAGCCCAGGCTGGCTCATACTCTCTGAGTAGCTGAGAGAAGGACTGAATACCAGAACCCCTATCGATTACATACGCCCAAAGTGCTGGGATTGGAGGCACACACTGCTACGCCGGCTTTATGTGGCGCTGAGATGGAACCCAGGGATTTGTTCACACTGGGCAGACACTGTCTCAACTGAGCTGCGTCTCCAATCCTACCGGGCTTCTTGTTTTGAAATTTTCATGTGTATAGAAAGGTGGTGTGTTTACTAGATAACATACCTTATATGCCGGCAGGTTCCCAATCCACAGAACTCAGTTAATCTTAGAACATTTCAGGGGGAAAAAGAAAACCTTCATCCATAATAAACACAAAGGCTTTTTATTGTCACCATTCCCCAGGGTATAACAAGGAGATTTGGAGCACACGGAAGAATGCATATGGTTTATGTGCAAACTATACCATTTTATGTAGGACACTTGGGTGTCTGTAGATTTGGGGGTGAGGGGGTGTCTGAAAGCAGCTCACCATGTAGCCCTGGCTGTCCTAGAACTCACTATGTAGACCAGGCTGGCCTCAAACTCATAGAGATCTGCTTGCCTCTGCCTCCTGAGTGCTGGGATTAAAGATGTGCACAACTATACCTGGTGTCTACAGATTTGCATTATCTTTGGGTGGTGGGCAGTCACGGGAGTCACCCTACTGATACACAGGGACACCTGTGATAGCATGTGTGCACCATCACTGGGTGTATTAGCGTGTGTGCACCATCACTGGGTGTATTAACGTGTGTACACCATCACTGGGTGTATTAGCGTGTACACCATCACTGGGTGTATTAGTGTGTAC